CTGTCTGTCGCAAAAGCAAAATGGGTTAGAGGGCTAATCTATGGCTTACTAAGGAAATAAGAGATTGTATCCAATCCAAGGAAGAAGCATACAGATTGGCCAATAAAAATAACAAATCTGAGGATTGGGAGCAGTTTAGAATTCAGCAAAGAAGGACTTTGGGATTGATTAAGAAGGGGAAAATAGAGTATGAAAGTAAGCTTGCAGGGAACATAAAGACTGACGCTAACAGTTTCTATAGGTACCTAAAGAGAAAGAGATTGGTAAAGACAAATGTAGGTTCCCTACAGACAGAAACAGGGGACTGTATAAGAGGGGACAAACAAATGGCTGAGGAACTGAATACATAATTTGGTTCTGTCTTCACAAAAGAGGGCATAAATCAGACACCAGAATTGTTGGAGAAGGCAAGATTTAGTGAAAAGGAAGAGCTGAAGGAGATCAATACTGGTAGAGAAATGGTGCTGGGAAAATTGTTGGGATTGAAGGCCGATAAATCCCAAAGGCTTGATAATCTACACCCCAGAGTAGTTAAGGAAGAAGCTGTAGAAATATTGGATGCATTGGTGGTCATCTTCCAGGATTTTAAAGACTTTGGCACAGTCCCTACAGATTGGAGGATGGCTAATGTCACTTCACTATTCAAAAAGGAAGGTAGAGACAAAACTGGGAATTATAGACTGGTGAGCCTGACATCGGTAGTGGGGAAAATTCTCAAATCCATTGTCAAGGATTTTATAGCAGAGCATTTAGAAAACAGTGGCAGGATCAGACAGAGTCAGCATGGATTTATGAAGGGGAAGTCATGCTTGACAAATCTGTTGGAATTCTATGAAGATATAACCAGTAGACTTGACAAGGCAGAACCAGTTGATGTAGTATATTTGGACTATCAGAAAGCATTTGACAAAGTTCCACATAAGAGATTAATGTACAAGATTAAAGCACATGGAATTGGGGGAAGTGTATTGAGATGGATAGGGAAATGGTTGGCAGACAGGAAACAAAAAGCAGGAATGAATGAGTCCTTTACAAATTGGCAGGCAGTAACTAGTGGGGTGCCATAGGGATCAGTGCTGGGACCCCAGCTATTCACAATATATATTAACGATTTGGACGAGGGAACAAAATGTAGTATCTCCAAGTTTGCAGATGATACTAAGTTGGGTGCGAAAGTGAACTGTGATGAGAATGCAGAGATCCTTCAGAAGGATCTCCACAGGTTGGGTGAGTGGGCAAATCAATGGCAGGTGCAATATAATTTGAATAAATATGAGGTTATTCACTTTGGAAGCAAAAACAAGAAGGCAGATTACTACCTGAATGGCTATAAATTGGGAGAGGGGAGTGTGCAGCAGGACCTGGGCATCCTTGTGCACCAGTTTCTGGAGGTAAGCGTGCAGGTGCAGCAGGCAGTAAACAAGGCAAATGGTATGTTGGCCTTCATTGCGAAAGGTTTTGAGTAAAGGAACAGGGATATTTTTTGTAATTGTACACATGGCTCACAAAAGTGCCTGTTGAGTTAAAACCCTAGAGAATCTCAATTCAAGCACTACTGGATAATGCACAAATTTCCAATAGCTTAATGCAGCCTAATCCAGTAGGATTTGGTTAAGCACAATGAGCCAGCTGTGATCATGGGATTGTCGGCATTTGAATGACTGGAACGCCTGCAATGCGACGCTGTTTAGAATGTCAGTTGCCACAATGGACACTGCACTTAGTTCATAAAAAACAGATCTTAAAAGGGCAATATGAGATTTGCAGTGAACTCTCAGGGAATGATTCAGTTTGGAGTGACAGCTAAGAGAAGTAACTTATAAAAAACTATGTTTGTCCAGCTTGTAATTTTCAACCTATATTCCTGCAATTTTCAATGAGGCACCTCCTATTAGTGCCATGTCTAGCTGGGAGGGCAGCACCAGCCCCGTCATTTAACAACCAGCAAATAGGAACTTGTTAAAACAATTTAACTCGTTACTTGGAAGCAAGGAAACCAAACATCACAAATAGAGTATAATGATGTGACTATTGTTGTATAGCTATCGAGGAACTTAAGCAAACAATTGCCCAGATGCTAACTTTCAGCCATAAAATCTTCAATTTCACTCTTCCAAGGTGATGGTTCAGAATGTTTTGAGAGTGATCGACATCTTGGTAACAGAAGAATGACAGAAAAGTGGAAGGGTCAGGAAGGTGGCAGTGTGTTGGAGCAGAGATTAAAAATGAGGCAGTATTTGGACAGGATTGATGGGTGAGAGTTGCTTTTTGAGTAGGGAATCATGACAGCAATTTTGAAAGATGCTGAAACTGAACCAAGGCTGAGCATATTTTGATGACGAACATGACCATGCAACTGAGAACTGTGTAGTCAGCAGCTAGAACAGGGTGACAGGAGTTGGTCTGGGATGGAATGTAGGCCGAACCTGAAGCACAAGGGACCAATATTAACCTCTGGATTCAACACATCATTCTCTGCCACTTCCGCCACCTGCAAACTGACCCCACTACAAAGGATATATTTCCCTCCCCACCCTTATCTGCCTTCCAGAGGGACAACTCTCTCTGTGACTCCCTTGTCCACTCCACATTCCCCACTAGCCCCACCACCCCCGGCACCTTTCCCTGAAACCGCAGGAGGTGCTACATCTGCCCGTAAACCTCGCCCCTCACCTCCATCAAAGGAACCAACAAAAACCTTCCACATCAGACAGAGGTTCACCTGCACGTCCACTAATGTGGTATATTGTATCCGCTGCTCCCAATGTGGCCTCCTCTACATTAGTGAGACCAAGCGGAGGCTCAGAGACTGCTTTGTGGAGCACCTACGCTTGGTTCGCGACAAACGACAACACCTCCCAGTCGCAAACCACTTCAACTCTCCCTCCCACTCCCTAGACAACATGTCCATCCTGGGCCTCCTCCAGTGTCACAACGATGCCACCCGGAAACTGGAGAAACAGCACCTCATATTCCGCCTTGGAATCCTACAACCCAATGGTCTCAATGTGGACTTTACTAGCTTCAAAATCTAACCACCCCTGGCTTCATCCCATGACCAGCCCTGCCTCTCATCCCCGCCTCACTGACCTGTCTGTTTTCTCTCCCACCTATCCGCACCTCCCACCTCACTGACCAATTCTCACCACGTCCTACCTGCTATCACCATCCCACCTGCCTTTCCCAGCCCAATCTTCCACCTCTCTATTTATTTCAGAGCCCCCTAGCCCTTCCCCATTTCTGAAGAAGGGTCCTGACCCGAAACGTCAGCGTTCCTTGCTCCTCTGATGCTGCCTAGCCTACTGTGTTCCTCCAGCTCCACACTGTGTTATCCCAGACTCCAGTATCAGCAGTTCTTACTATCTCTTATTGGAATAGATCGGATCGAAGGAGATACACACAGTTGACTGTTTCAGCAGCAGATGGACATGAGTAGTAATGGAGGCAGCAATGTTGTAAGGGTGGAAATGGATAGCTTTCAGTTGTAAAGGATAATAGAATAGGCTTTATTTCTCCAGCTCTTCATTTAAATACAAATTGAGATTGTTTGAATTTCCATTCATGGAAAAATCAATCAATTTTGCCCAAACTTTCCTCATGAAGGTCAATCCATGACAAGCATCTGATGCACAATCACTCCTGTACAGGAAGAGACTTTGAGAGGTCAGTCGTTTCTTTCAACACTGGGCTATAAACTGGTGGCGGTGGATAAGTAACTTGTTTTATGTCATCCCCATTTCCAATCCTTTCAGCAGATTGTCAGTTCACTGCACAGTGGAGAAATTTAAAAATTTTGCTGAGGATTTCATTAGTGTGGATTAATGGACAAAGTATGTTCCTACTTTGGTAGCATCCCCTGATGAAACCTGCAGTGGTGTAAGTGGTAATAGGAGCACATGGTGTGCCTGTACAGTTAAAATTCAGAGAACAGCACTTCAAAATACACAAAAGTAAGGATTCTCTGTGTGCTCTTTTTTAAAAATTTTTTACATTTGCACACACATGATGCACTGACATCACCCTCTGCAGCTTCCCAAAACCAGTTTTACAGGAGTGCATCTGCTGACTTTTGGCTGTTCTCCCTCATTTAAACAGACTCCTTGAAGACACCATTGTGGGTATTTTGGTCCATTGTGAGGTTAAGGCCTCATGATCCTGCAACATGAGAAGTATGTCTAACAGCTTTGTGTTGATTGGCCTGAAGGGCTGAATGGGCTACTCTTGTTTTTTGTTTTAATGTTGCTAAAAAGATCGTAATTCTGTGGAGAGTGTGATAGGCGATAAGAATAAAAGTGAAATACTCTTCTCCGTAGTTTAAACTATACGAAACAAAGTAGTGTTTAATTCATGTTGACTAAACATTTGCTATAGCAAAGCTTTTAAAACATGAAATCTTATTGTATCATTCTTTCAGCTAGGAACTGGAAATTTGAATAGCTTTTTAAATTGTATCAGTTTCTACAGAAGTTGAAACAAAGTGAAAAAAATATCGAGAACAGGCAAAAGGATGATGATGTAAATACATTTCTGATTACCATCAAGTGGCCCATTACACAAACTAAATGGTCAAACAAAGATAGCATCCCACTTGTCTATTGTACACTCAACAGCAAGTATCTTCCCAATTCTCTTAAGGTAGATTCATGTAAATAGCAAAGGGCCCTTGAGCAAGGTGAAGAGGGTGTTCAGTGCTGTTGAACAAAAGTGAAAGATCATACCTTCAGAGGCAAAAAATTATGAGTATAAAGTTCTTTATGAATTTATAGATTGTACAAAATAATGTCTATGTCTCTTAATTGCAAAAACTAGCCAATGGAAGATGGCAATGTAGAATTGGGACACCTGTTTTACTGACAAACATTTTCACTTCTTTAAGGAAATTATATCAGAGACATTTCATAACCTAGTTTTCTTAAAGAAAGTCAGAAAAGTTAAAAGACTTTCTTAAAGAAAGTCATACATTCTAAATAATACAGTAGTTACCAAATTCAGTTACACACCAGTAGATTTGCAGATATACTGCCCATTTCTCTTCAGACTGCAGTTCTCATTGCTTCCACAGCCATCATCTGCACAGTTTATCTCACCATCTTTTCCACAGCTACATTTTTGGGCACAATGTTGGGTCAGCCAAGTCTCTCCAATCTGAAACAGTGACACATGAATGTTATTGGAGGTAAATAGACATATCTATACATAAGAGTATACAGTGCATGTTTAGCTTAGTTTGCTGTGCAGCTGGTTTGTAATGCAGAGTGACACCAACACTGTGGGTTCACTTCCTGCACCGAGTGAGGTTACTACGAAGGATCATCTTGTCAACCTTGCCCATCATCTGAGGGCTTGGTGACCCTCAGGTTAAACTCACCATCAGTCATCTCACTGTAATTAGAGGAGTAGCCCTATGGTCCTCTGAGACTTTGGGGACTTTACCTTCCCTTATGTTTGTATTTGGTGTTTTATAATATTTTCACTTAAAATATTTACTGGCATGAATAATGATCTCAAATATCAAGTTGAAAGAAAAACCTTAAACATACAGTAGATCTATCAGCATCTAAAAAATACAAGAACACAAGAACTAGTCATTTGGTCATTCAGAACCTGTGTAAAACAGCACATTTTGTTGAGGGATTTTGTCTTGCACTCATCAGGATAATTTGCAAGAATACTAACCCAAGGGGAAAACCAATGTTTTGCTGCATCACATCTGACTGGTTGGCAAATGGAATCTGATAGAGGCATTACCATACAGAATACAACAGTTAATCATGATTGACAATTAATTGGCAGGCTTGTTTAAATCTGAAACAAGGCAGGTTGTCTCTGATTCATTTCAGAAAAGGACAAGCGGAATGAATTTGACTCCATTTCTCCTCCTCACCAAAAGTTGCATCGGCACATGCCAACCAGATAACTTAATTTGTCTGAGCATCTGTTGCACAGGGACAGGAAGTCCTGTTCTAGGTAGCTGCTGGACAATTTGATTGACTAGCAGCTCTACAGCCCCAAAAGTGGCCGCCGCTCAATCCTGGGGCTACTGGGACTACAAGCAGTCCTGAGTACAAAGTGACCTGGATCCTACAGTTTGGTAAATCCGGAAATCCTGGAGAGGCTTAGCTGAGATACAACAGCGAGAGCAGTGGGTGAAGAAGTCAGAATTTAGAGTCCGTGGGAGAGAGAGGATAGGGAAAGATAGATGCTACAAGCTCGGATGCAGTGCCAGATGGTGAAATGAATCACCAAAGGGATACGCACATTCTTCTGTCTGTCAGTAGATGGTGCAGTGAAAGTTGGCAGGTTATTCACCATTCTAACGTCCCTTACACAATCTTCCTTGGTGAGATGAAAAGTTACATTGGAAATGATTGAAGCTTTATTTTATGCATCCCACCACCTCTGTTTGAGGCTGTTTTCGTTACAGAGAAGAAGGTTAAGAGGTGACTTGATAGAGACATACAAGATCATCAGAGGATTAGATAGGGTGGACAGTGGGAGCCTTTTTCCTCGGATGGTGATGGCTAGCACGAGGGGACATAGCTTTAAGTTGAGGGGTGATAGATATAGGACAGATGTCAGAGGTAGGTTCTTTACTCAGAGAGTAGTAAGGGCGTGGAATGCCCTGCCTGCAAAAATAGTAGACTCGCCCACTTTAAGGGCATTTAAATGGTCATTGGATAAACATATGGATGATAATGGAATAGTTTAGGTTAGATGGGCTTCAGATTGGTTTCACAGGTCGGCGCAACATCGAGGGCCGAAGGGCCTGTACTGCGCTGTAATGTTCTATGTTCTATGTTCTATGTTCTAGGTATGCTGTCAGGGAAGGAGGAGGAAGGTGCTGTAAACTCCAATATTCAATGTGTGACTCTTTGCCTGTTTAAAGGGTCTGACACATGCTGCAGGGATCTTCTCAAAAACAGTTAATAATAGTCTTTCCCTTACAGTTACAGGAGTTGATACAATCAACCCTGTATCTATTTGTAACCTATCAATGGAACAACAGCATCCCCTTGTGATCTGCACCTGTTATTCACATACTTCTCAATATGTTTGTCTTCAGGATCTTTAGAGGCAAATTGATTTACCACTGGGTAAAATAGGCTTTGGTTCAAATCATGAAACCACTTTAATCTTCAATAAGATGGAACAGCAATCAAATCAGTGATAAAATTCGTGTTGTTCAATCTATACAATTTTTGACCTTTCTGCTTCAGTTTCACTGTTGTAACATAAGCCTGCCCTTTAAAGTGGCTGTAACTCTATTTTATTTCTAACTAGTAATTGCGAGGAATACTTAAAATACTGATATATGATTAAGCAAAATAGGAGGGGTACTGATTTAGACCACTTGGCTCCTTGAGCCTTCTCTGTCATTTAATAATATCATGTGTGGCCAGACTGTGATCTAAATCTACGTTCCTGACTATACCCAATTCCCTTTGTCTGCCTTGGCAGTAAAGAAGTTATCTATCCCTGTGTTAAAATATGCAATCATCCTGTCCCCATTGCTCTCTGGGGAAGAGATTCTAAAGACTCATAATCTGATAAAACAATTCTCCTCGTCTCCACCTTAAATGGCAAAGCCCTTTGACTGTGTCCCCTAGTTCTAGTCTCCCCCATATCCTTTCAGCATTCACCCTGTCAAGTCTACATATAGCGATCTTAAACATTTCAATATAACATCTTTCATTCTTCTAAACTCCGATGGATGCAGATTCTGTCAGTCCAATCTTTCTTCATAAGGTAATTTTCCTTCTTACCCCCATGCCAGTAGAGTGAACATCCTTTGAAGTGCCTCGTACACATTTGTATCCTTTCTTAAACATGGAGGCCAATACTATAGACAGTACTCCAGACGTGGTCTCACTAATACATTATAGAACGGAAGCAAAACATCTATTTTTATATTCCATTTCCCTTTCAATAAATAACAAATTCCACTTTGCCTTCTTAATTACTTGCTGTAGTTGCATAACAACCTTTTGTGATTTCTTTACCAAGAAATCTACCAGATCCCTCTGTACCTCAGAGTTCTACAGTCTCTTTCCATTAAAATTTGACAAGATCCCTCATGGTAGGCTGGTCCAGGTATTTGACAAAGTCCCTCCTGATAGGTTGGACCAGAAGATTAAGTCCACTGGGATCCATCTTGAGTTGGTAAGTTGGATACAAATTAGCTTGGCCTTGAAAGACAGAGGGTAGTTATGGAGGAGTGTTTTTCTGACTGGTGATTTGTGACCAGTGGTGTTCTGCATGGGTTAGTGCTGGGATCTGTTATTTGTAATATATAAGGAAGCGTCTGAGTGAAAATGTAAGTGGTCTGATTAGTAAGTTTGCACATGACACAAAAATTGGTGGAGTCATCATAGTTATGAAGGTTGCCAAGGGATACTGCAGGATAGTTGGAAAGTTGGGCAGATGGAGTTTAATTTAGTCAAGCGAAAAGTGATGCATTTTGGGAGGTCAAACGCAAGAGGAAAGATACGGTAAAAGGCAGGATCCTTAGGAGTACTGATATACAGAGGAAAAGTGGCAACACAGTGGATAAGGTGATAAATAAGGCATATGGCATGCTTGCTGACATTGATTGGGGGCATTGAGTATGAAAGTTGGCAAGTCATGTTGCAGCCATATAAAATTCTAGTTTGATCATATTTGGAGTATTGTATGCAGTTCTGGTCGCTGTACTACAGGAAGGATGTGGAGGCTTTTGGTGAGGGTGCAAAAGAGGTTTACCAGGATGTTGCCTGGATTGGAGTGTAGTTGTAAGGGGAGGTTAGACAAACTTGGATTGTTTTTGCTGGAGTGTTGGAGGCAGAGGGGCGACCTGACAAAAATCTATAAAATTATGAGAGGCATGATTATGGTGGATAGTCGGAGTCTTTTGCTCATGCCAGAAATGTCAAATATTAGGGGCCATTGGTTTAAGGTGACAGGGTGAAAGTTTAAAGGAGATGTATGAGGCATGTTTTTTTACACAGGGTAATAAGTGCCTGGAACGTGCTGCCAGATATGTTTAAAAGACATTTGGACAGACACATGAACAGACAGGAATAGAGAGACGTGGACTATAGCAGGCAGATAGGATTAGCTTAGAATGGCATTGTGGTTGGCACAGATATGTTGGGCTGAAGGGTCTGCTCCTGTAGTGTACTGTTTTACTATCTATGCAAATAGTATTCTGCTCTTCTATTCTTCTTGCCAAAGTGGACAAGTTCACATTTTCACATATCATACTCCATTTGCCACATTTCTGCCTACTCACTTAAGTGATCTATAACACTTTGCACATAATTTGGCCTCGATTTTTGCAATAATGGAGAGTACCTCCATTAAGGCATAAATGCTACAGTCATCAGATACCCCAAGTCCTGCCCCCAAACGTGGCATCACATTTTCATGGAGACAGTCTGCATTTTGTGTGCGATTTAAATGATCAGCTGCCTCTGATTTCTGATTTTGGAATTCCAGATCTCTGGAATCTGGAGTTTGGATATAAGACCCATGTAGGAGTTGGTCTGTTCTCATTGCATTTCTTTTGGTTAGCTAGGGTACCCATTTGGAGAGCTCAGGTAGCCCTATGGTAAGGTCCTAGAACATGGAGACGTGGAGAAACCAGGGATCTTTTTCGGGAGGGGAGGGACACAGGTAACCAAGGTTCAGGGATCATAGAAACATGGAAGATAAGAGCAGGAAGAGACCATTCGGCCCATCAAGCTTGCTCCACCATTCTTCACGATCATGGCTGATCGTCCAACTCAGTAGCCTAATCCTGCTTTCTCTCCATAACCTTTGATCCCATTTGCCCCAAGTGCTGTATCTAGTCGCCTCTTGAACACATTCAATGTTTCAGAATCAACTACTTGCTGTGGTAATGAATTCCACAGGCTCACCACTCTTTGGGTGAAGAAATGTCTCCTCATCTCCGTCCCAAATCATCTACCCCGAATCCTCGTACTGTGACCCCTGGTTCTGGACACACCCACCAATCAGGAACATCCTCCCTGCTTCTACCTTGTCCAGTTTTATAAATCTCTATGAGATCCCGCCTCATTCGTATGAACTTCAGAGAAAAGAATCCCAACTTAGTTAATCTCTCCTCATATGTCAGACCCACCATCCCCAGAATCAGCCTGGTAAAGCTTCGCTGGACTCCTTTGAGAGCACGAGCATCCTTCCTCGGAAAATGAGACCAAAACTGCACACAATATTCTAGGTGTGGTCTGACTGATGCTAAGTGTTTCCATAGGTACGTGAAAAGAATGAGATTTGTAAAGACATATGTAGGTCCCCTGCAGACAGAAACGGGGGAATGTATAATAGGGGACAAACAAATGGCTGAGGAACTGAATACCTATTTTGGTTCTGTCTTTACAAAAAAGTACACAAATCAGATACTAGAATTGTTGGAGAAGGCAAGATTTAATGAGAGGGAAGAACCGAGGAGGATCAATATTAGTAGAGAAATGGTGCTGGGAAAATTGTTGGGATTGAAAGCTGATAAAACCCAAAGGCCTGATAATCTACATCCCAGTGTACTTAAGGAAGTAGCTCTAGAAATAATGAATGCATTGGTGGTCATCTTCCAGTATTCTATAGACTCCGGAACAGTCCCTGCAGATTGGAGGGTGGCTAATGTCACTCCAATATTCAAAAAGGGAGGTATAGAGAAAACAGGGAATTATAGACCTGTGAGCCTAACATCAGTATTGAGGAAAATTCTCAAATCCATTGTCAGGGATTTAAAGCAGAGCATTTAGAAAACAGTGGCAGGATCAGACAGAGTCAGCATGGATTTATGAAGGGGAAGTCATGCTTGACAAATCTGTTGTAACCAGTAGACTTGACAAGGCGGAGCCAGTCGATGCAGTATATTTGGAATTTCAGAAAGCATTTAACAAAGTCCCACATAAGAGATTAATATGCAAATTAAAGCGCATGGAATTGGGGAAGTATATTGAGATGGATAGGGAACTGGTTGGCAGAGAGGAAACAAAGATCATTGGCTCAATTCAATATCTGTGCGAGTGGAAGCATTGGATCAGTGGCCATACTTTTGTCCCCAAACTACAGGGCAGAATTTTTGATTTTGGGATAAGGACATCAATGGACAATTTTTGGGTCCTGATTCCATGACAGACGCAGTGTGATTTATTGAAAAGCTGGCTAATCAGTGGTCAGAGAGTATGCTCACCATCCAATAAAGGACAGTAGTAGTCTTCTTAGAGTTGAAGATCAAAAGGGTGCCTTCCAGCCCTGAGAGAATGACAGGCACAGAAATGGTGGCTACTGGTTTAGGACAGTGTGCAACTTGAGGTGCACATGCCCACTAAAGACCTTTTAATAAAAACTATATGAAAAATAAACTGGCCACAGCTATTTCACAGCTATGTACATGACAGTAAAGAACATATGAAGATTGCTGGTCGCAGAAAAGCTGAATAAGTGATAATAAGAGCTAAGAGTAGGAGAGAATGGGTGAGTTGAACTGAAAGTAACCCATATAATGTAATAATATACTAGGAAAAATGGTGACTGTGCTAAAAAGCAACCCATATTGAAACAGGACTGGGCGTGGGGTTGGTGAAAAAACATGGAAGGATGGTTTCATGCTTGAAAGTTATTGAACTCGATGTTGAGTATTAGAGGCTGCAGGGTCCCCAACTGGAAAATGAGATGTTGTTTTACAAGCTTCTTCCAAGTCTCACTGGAACACTGCAGCAAGCCTGTGACAGAAATGGTGATGTGGGAACACAGTGGTGTGTTGAAGTGGCAGGCAACTAGAAGCAGGGTATCATTTTTGCAGACACAACGTCAGTGTTCTGCAAAGTGGTAACCCAGTCTGCATGTCGTCTCCCCAGTGTAGAGGAGACTACACTGCACGCAGCAAATACAATAGGCAAGATTGAATGAAGTACAGGTAAGAAGCTGCTTCACCTGGAAGGTGTATCTGGGACTTCGGATGGTGAGGAGGGTGGAGATAAACGGGCAGGTATTACATCTTCTATAATTGCATGGGAAGGTGCCATGGGGGTGTGAGGTTGTGTTGGGAATGGAGGAGGAATGCATCACAGTGTCCCAGAGGGAACGGTCCTTACAGAACGATGACAAGGGAGGGGAGAGGAATATGTGTCCTGTCGTGGCATGGAGATGACAGAAATGGTGGTCTTCAGTCCTTTGGATGTGGAGGCTGGTGGCAAGGTAAATGGGTGGTAAGTAAGTAACAACATCCCAAAAGGCTTTTAGAACCACTGTGAAGTTGTACAAACTGCAGTTAGATATAAATGACAAGATAGCATTTTAGTAATAATAAAAAAGGAAACTATAGGAAATCTCAAAAGGTCTTCCAGCATCTGTGGAGAGAAACAGTCAATGGGCTGAATTTTCCCAGCCAGTGAATGACATGGGCATTGCTGAGAAATGAAGAAAAATCATGTGAGATTGGCATTAAGACAATACTGAAGTTGAGAGTAAGAAGTCCCATTTTCCAACCAAGTTTTGAACACCAGGACAAGATTCTGCTAGTAAGCGCTAAAGGCGTATGTCATGTATTAGCCTGCATTAACATTTCATTATAAAATAATCTCATCTCGTTGATATGCAATTTCCAAATCTTCCACCCACCGTGTAGCGACTAGATGGTGACAATTGCTGACATGAAAGTCAGATTGATAACCTGGTCACTCCAGCCTGCTTCTTACTCCTCCAGTTCTCCATCTTGGAAACCATTCACCAACATCTCAGCACATGCTCACTAGGAAACCCTGCCTTACCCAGGACCATCAAGTCCCTGTTTGACAAATTGGAATGCCAATTTCCCTCTATCCAATATGTCTGGATTATTTATAAGGACATCAACTCAGCGAAAGACACTCTTTGGTCTGCCTGAAACTTGTTGATCTTCCAGAATAAGGAATTGACCTTGACTGAGTATTACAGGCTGGCACATTCCAAGCTCCAAGATTATGGGCTGAGGGATGCACTAAAGCTTGGGACAACTGCCACCAAAGCACAGTGGGGAAAGGCCACTGAGGTCTTCCTGCCAACGTTAAATGGGGGTCCATTCAGTTATTGGACCCTCCTAGTGCCTCAAATGCATGTAGATATAGTCTTGCATATGTAAGAGATGACTTTGGTTTGTTTGGGTAGAGTCAACTCCAATGTTTGTTTGTTTCCTTGATATGCTACTGTACAGAATTGAGCTGCATTTGTGACTACGTAAATATACAAAGTTTTTTTATGAATAAAGTATATTTTTGAAATATATTTTAAAAATTGACCAGGAACTGTCTGGGCACCTCTGGACTGCTAGTGCTTAACTGGGTACATGGCTGGACTTCAAAATGATGCTAACATCAGGAATCCTGGAAAGACCCACCAGTGGTGAGTTCTTCTGCCTGTGGTGGAAGGGAGGATATGAAGAGTAGGGCACCATTGGGGCATTGTGCATAGGTAATGAGATGTGAAGGGCTCATGAAGTTAAAATCTCCATGAAATTTGTCAAAACTAACACTTAGCCAATTTCTGGTAAAAGTCAGCCCAACATTTCCAATATGTCTTATTCAGAACAGATGCTTCACTGTTGTTGATTGAAGGATGAATATTGGCCTGGAAACAGCCTGTTGTTTTTTTAAGTAGTATCATGGGATAGTTTATACCCACCTGAAAAAGCTTACAGTGTTGTAGATTCTCAGTGCTTCAACAAATATTGACCTAGATATATGTTCAAGTCTCTGCAACAAGATTGAACTCATAACCTCTGACTCAGACATAGGCGTGCTACTTCGAAGCTGAGACACCTTTAATCAATGAACATGCATAACCTGCTTGACAAAACATATAATATTTCCAGAAATAAGGTCAATTTTGTTTATCTACTCACACGATGGTAATGATCGTTTTTGTCTCTGCAGCCACATTCATTGACTGAAATACAGCTGTCATCACTGAATATGAAACCGTTGTCACATACACATCCTTCCATGCACACAGAAGACCTGTCACAGCTGGATCCTGTGTAGATATTATTGCACGTAGGAGGACAAGCAGGAGCACAGGTTGTGTAGTAACTGTTTGGTGGACAATACCGAGCTGCAAAAGCAAATAAAAACATTTCCATGCAGTCAATTCAGGATAGGGGAAGGACAAAGGTAAAAATAAATTACATTAATCTTTGAGTGAAATAAATCATTTGTTCAGTATAAGCTGAACCAAGCAGGAAGACAATCAAAACAATTTCAGATGCACAGGCATTCATAATAATCTTACAACTGTGAAGTCGCCTTGCTTTTGCAGTGCAGTGGCTATCATATTTGCCTCATGCTACATGAAAAGTCCCTTGGTTGATACTGAGTAGGAACATTGTTAAGGCTCAAGTACCCGCATAAGGGGAATGGGAATAACTTTTTGTTACAAGGGGGTCATATGTTGAATAGTGGTGGCCAAACTTCTGAACCAGAAAATCCAGGTTGAAGTCTCATCTATGTGAGGTATCATAACATGTCTGAACAGGTTGATTTAAAATATCTGTAATAGTAGAGTTCAATTTTATTATTTTCAATCCCAGTATATTCTTGTTATGATCAATGGATTAGGGATGGCCAATAAATGCTGGCCAGCCAGTGATGCTCAAGTCCTATGAATGAATAAACAAAAATCCCCATTGAAAGAAATGACTTGCCCTTGTGTAGTATGTTTAAATTGGTGGATGGGCAATTCTTTGTATAATAGGTTATTGCTTAAATCTCCTCACCAATTCTCTCCACCTGCACTTCTCTGATAGACAATCATTCATTGACTGCTTTCTAGGATCTGGCTTGATGGTTTCAGTACCTTTAAGTTGAGCATCGAATATAAATGTAATTGACCTTCTTTCCACTGAACCCAATCCCATTCAACATGTATATGCATGCACACTGAGCAGCAGTTACTGGGAAGTCATGAGGATCATGAACCTTCGATAATGTTAATATCCCAAACATTGGAATTTGATCCCAATCCTAGTGTTCTTAATACTACTCTGATAGAAGACAAATGAGTCAACACTGGTTCAAATTTCATTCTAAGAGTTTCATAGGCTGTTTAGCTCAGCTACTCATTGGAAAAGGCTATACAGCCACTGGAGACTTCAAATCTCAGTACATTTTACATCTTACATTTATTACTAAATAAATCTGATAATACATGCTTTAACACACACATTCTCAGATTTTTTTCTCCAATATTATTTAATACTTATTTTAACCAAAATAAATTAGGAAGTTGCACAACTTTAAATTCTATTTTTATAAGCAGCATCCTGCCCATTATTTAGTGAAGGACTGTATACTGGTATGATTTGATTTACAGCTATGTGGATTTATGGGAGTGAACTAATTTATTTGATTTGCTTATTACTTGAAATGAGATCACAGCAGAAATGAAGCCATTCCTGTAACAGTCTTGTGAATCACGACTGAGTGCATAGGATGATGTGAGGCACTGCTAACCATTAGGTTTTTCTCAATATGAGAAATAACAAACCTGCCTTGGGTTTATTTCCAAATGCCTGATGATCACAGCACATTGTTATCTTGAACTACAAATGGCTGTTAAATGCTGTAAGCAGCATTTTGGGCAAATATATCATAGTATGCAGAAGTTGTTCCGTGAAGAGTTTTTCACTGATATATAACTATGCCTAATAGTTTATTTTGTGTGTGTTCAGGAAATGTGTGGTTAGTTACCTTGATCAAAAAGCTGAGGATCAGTTTAAAAAAAAATCCCTCTTTTTAAGGTGGATCTTATGCAAACTTGGAGTTGAGATTTCTGGGAGGAAAATACAGGCAACATTGGAGCTCTGGCCATTACCAAAAATAATTGTAATAAAATATTTACAATCCAGTGATCCTTGCACTTATGTTAGGGTATTATCAACAGGTGATCTGCGCTGTTGGTCATGTAACATATGTAGAGTCAGGGGAAAACTGTTTGAACTGAATTCCTCCAGAATATTTCTGCACTACTAGGGCTGTTTCTAGGTCTTGAACAGTGCAGTTGGTTATTTCTTGATAATGTCCAGAGGCTTTAAACAAAGATTTAAAACTATGTTACAAAAACAGAAATTGTTGGAGAAATTCAGCAGATCTGGCAGCACGTATTCTGATGAAGTGTCACTGGACTCAAAACATTAACTCTCCATTCTTCTCACAGATGCTGCCAGACCTGATGAGTTTCTCCAAAAATTTCTGCTTTTGTTTCAGATCTCCAGCATCCACAGTTCTTTGTTTTGTTTTAAATACATGTTACTTACTTACCTGCAAGGCCTAAGCCTTCATCGACAGATCGGGTTTACAATCACCACCTGCCAACCTGAGCCAATCCTATGCTGGGTCTTTTGAGAATCAGGTTGCAGGAATTCCCAATAGAGGGAGTTCCTTCATTCTCTTGTACTGATTGTTGCTTTGGTGTTGTTGGAGGATACAACTACAGATATTTTGATTCTTACCTGGGTGTTGGTGTATTGGCCCCAAAATGTATTGTGCCAAATCTATGGTTGGTACAGGTCTAAAGAATTGTTCGTCTTCTATCACTTGTTCCTTTAGTGCAGAATCTATGCATCTACATCAACTAGTTTGTTGTGTCACATTGTGACAATGTTATATTAGTCCATACGTTTGAATATCAATATAAATTGGTGTGTGAGTTGTTTAACTCTCATTGACTTCATCTTTATCTCTTATTATCAATATAGTTACTTACGGCAGAAAGTACTGTTCCTCCACATGATTTCTATTCCTTCTTCCTTACAAGCAGCAACATAATTTTGGAAATTATCACAGAGTGTTGAAATCATGCCATTATATTTGCACATGTCTTGAATACAGTTCTTGATGAAAATATGTGGATTAACAAAGTGATGACAAGGTATGAATTTATCATGCAGCAGCTCCTGGCACTGGGACTCAATAATCAGTTTCTCTTCTGGCGTGCAAGGAAAGTCCATTTGTTCTCTGCTATAGTCTGGTTGACAGCTAACAAAAATAGACAGCACAGGTTTTATTACATTTCAAATATTATAATCCTAGCTTTGAACAGCATGCCTTTAAAAAGCTTGTTCAACTGTCTGCAAATAAAATGTTAGTGGCATTCTTAGTCTTTATCAATTAATATGCTCCTTTTTCCAATGAAAAGCAGAGATAAGCATTTGTTAAGGAGTGTGTCAATTATCATTTTTAGCAATGGTTAGAAAATTTCAATCCTAAGTTTTGAATTGGCCATTTTATACCAAAGAATTGATATACACTTACTTCTGTTTCTAATTGTGTTGATGTTTTTAAACTAATTTCAGTTTTTTACAATAAACGAGGAAATAACATTTTTGAGTCTCTGTAATACATAAATGTTTAAATCCTACCCTGCATTACTGTATTCCTCTGACTTCCAACTGTTTCCAAAGTGAGTTACACTGGGTGCAATCAGACCATCAGGCATTAGCAACTCATCAGCTTTTTGGCCATTGTAATTACCACACATACCACACACCTACAAATAACAGAGAAATGGATTGACAAATGGGAAAATACAGAAATGAAGATATGAGAGCAGTGTATACTGTAACACATAAAGCCTAAAAAAGAGTATCTTGAAAAATTCTTCTTTATGTTAAAAAAAAACTGACATTAGGAAGTCTAAGACAAATCTTCCAATGTGAAATGTTGGGAAATGTCAGTACCCAGATGTTGGGAAAATGGCTGCAGAGATCATTAGACCAACATGTGATCCTGCAGTGCTTCCTTAGGAAGTCTGTGGTTTGCTACTACCAAAGGAATTGCAATAGTCATAAACCCAACATTGGGCGTGAGAGGACAGGAGACATTCTTAATTCCTTGTGGCTCATTTTTCTGTCAGCATATATGTGACTGGCCAAATGGAAGAGTATTCCAAAAACTGGGAAGTGGAGCTTGAACTTGGATCTCTGCAGAAATCAGGAACTGCAATGGTCTTATAATTCAACTGTGTATTTCCCGAGATAGACCTCTATCAGGAAAGCACGTGAGTCATGAAAGTACCTCAACCTGCTCAGCAAGGACATAGGAAAAGAAAACCAACCCAACGACATCTGTTTAGTGATCCAAAAAGAGAATGAGTAGTAAACAGCCCTCTCTTCCGAAAATCACCAGAGGTGAACCACTGCCAAAAAATTTTATACTGAGGCAAAACACTCCTTACTTTGTTATTTGGTCTTTGTTTACAGATATTATATTACAATTTGAATTTCAAAGGATTAAAGTTTATACTAAAAATAAATCTGAGTAGAGGTTTTATATCACAAACGGACTCAGTAAGCTTGAAAACTGAAAAAAAAACTTGCTACACACGATGCTTCACACTTTTCACTTGTTCAACTAAATTTCTCTGCTAAAGCCTGCGCTAGCTGTCCTCCACAATCTCATTTACCTGTGTGCCTTATGTTTACGAATATACAGTGAAAATCACCAAGCCTTTCAAGTCAGTAATTCATCAAACTTATCTTGTCTCCTCCCAAAAGTATGCACTTTTAATAACAAGAGTTATTAATTTTTTCTTTTCTTTTGCTCAGGCTAATTAATGAATGGTACTGGTAAAACGACTCAGAGCAACTACTCCATGACAGCGAAAGGGTCAACCCTAGCAACTCTGGAGTTTATACTAAAAAAGGTGTTTGGAGAAATTAGATCTGTTAGGAGTTGTTAAGTTTGACTCCAGTATACTGTTCTGTGCTGCTGCGTTCCACAACCATGTGCTCCTGGCTCATACTTTCTTTGCTCTGTCCTCCTCTCTACATTACTCTGAGGCTATATCCACCTAAAGGGAGGGAAAAACGCACTCAGCATTCTTTTAAAAACCAAAAGAACTTCAGATGCTGTAAATCAGGAAGAAAAACAAAGTTGCTGGAAAAGCTCAGAAGGTCTGGCAGCATCTGTGAACGAAAAAACAGAGTTAACGTTTCGGGTCCAGTGACCCTTCCTCAGAACTGAGTTTTGGAAACTTCTTCAATGATGGCCTGTTCTGAATATGTATTTTTAATAACAATTTATTTTTGCATTTGCTACTAATTTCAAACTTACACAGCAGAATGAAATCACATCAAGATAACAGAACTATTTACCTAAACCTTTCATGAAAAAATATCCTTTCACAGCCTTACCCAAGACAAGATTTACAAGATTTATAAAAGGATTTATAATATGAAAGAATATTTATTCTATTTAGATTACATTGTATTTAAATATGCATACATTATTAGGTTATTCTGTAACTCACTGAAAAAACTATTAATTTTATTACAGATGCTACATTGTGCCCTCATCACTGTGGTTTGATTACAGATTCTCAGTTCTTTAGGGACGGCTAGAGGTTCTCTATTCCCTTCAAATATGTGCATATTTTGGTAGACCATGAAATTAAATGCATGGTTTCCTTACCTTTGAATAATATGAGTTTGGCAAATTGATCTCAAGGTTGTGGTTGCCATCATATTTCACTGACATTCCAAAATCTGTCTCAACAATTGTGTAGATACCATTTGTTATAACATTTATGCCTCTCAAACGATTTTGCATTGGTGTGCGAGTTCTTTTCCCATTTAGCTGGAAAGTAAGATTCTTTGCATGAGACAGACACCATCAACCGGAGCAAAATGATTATAATTCAAAACAACTTTACAGAACTAAAAATTAAACAGTAATGTCTGAACATTGAGAAAACAAAATACTAGGACCAACTGAAAGCATGATGGTGACGTGGGGGAGATAATGTTTTCTCAAATGTAAATTCTCAATCAGTTTATAAAGAATGGATTTCCATCTTTCCTCTGTCATTAAATAGGGTGCAATGTATTACCCACCCAGTTTAGGACGTGCTCAATGTTCATTTCCATTGAAATGGAAGTGAAATTCATAAGGTTTCTATTAAAGATGATTTATCTATAATTTTACAGTTTTGCACTCAATTGCAAGTTGTAAACTTGTTCCGATTAATTTACAATTTCATCTTACAGAGATGAAAATTTATCTTGTAGGTTAGTTCACCACAGTTTCAAAGCACACAGTAGTCAGTTATAGCCACTTCCACAAAACTTGAAAGTACTCTGAACTGTGAGGACAGTGTTAGATGTCAGGGTGCCAATTTCCCTCTGTGCGACGTGTCTGGGGCAATTGGCCAGGAACTGTGCAGGGCATTTGCAGACAGCCAGACACTTGACTTCGTGCATGGCTGAGTTCAAAAGATGGCACTGGTACCAGGAATCACAGAAAGTCTTGGCAATGATGAGTACTTCTGCCTATGGCAAGATGGAGAGTGTACCAAACAGGGCACCATAGAGGCATAATGCAAACGCAGTATGGTGAGTTTGGATAAATGGCATGAGTAATCCTGCAAGGGCTCACAGCTCTAAACCCACCATGAAATTTGCCAAAATTGACACTGAACCAATTTATATTAAAATTCAGTACTGAATTACAGACACAGAATAGTTTGTATGAAAGATAGAAACTATTTCTCTGCTGCAATAGGGATTGTCCACCTGAGTCTGCAACATACTACTGTGGAAGAGGCAAGTGACCATAACTCACCATCTAATTATGCTATACAGTAGCATAGTTTTTGCAGTCAGCAGTGAAACAACAGTGTTCATAGCTGACCTTGAAGACAGCTGCCCAGAAAGATCTCCATGACGGGTATTTTCCCTTTTCTATTAGCAACTGAAATCTGGTGCCTAATCAAGATGATGTCCTGGCATGCAGCAGAATTGATGTTGGTAAGCAGATAGCCAACCATCAGCATTGCAGTATTCATACACAGCAAACCAGGAAGTTAAAAGTGTCCAAAGAGTTTAAAACTCACATAGCAAAATAAATTTTATAACCAAATTAAAACAGAAGGTAAATTCAACATATTTAATGTATATATATATAATATATTCTAAAAGGGTGGAATTTTTAATAAATGTGAAGAAATCTGCCATTCCATAATTCTAAAATTTGCTTTTCATGGACAGTGTAGAAGTTTAGCAGTGTTACTAAAGTTAGTCTTCTGGCAAAATAAGACACAACTTTTTCCAGGGTTTTTATAAGTCTAATAGCATTAAAATGGAGGTTTTCATCAATTCATTGTTGTAACGTACAGTTTCACTATCTTTACCACTTTAAAACGAAGGGTATACCAGCCCCCAGTACTAATGTTAGAGCACAATATAGATAGTGCTTCATTCATTCATATTAGAATCTTTCACTTAATGAGCATCCAACAAAGAAACATGAAGGAAAAAAACTGAAGGTTGTTACAAATGAAATCTTTTGTGACTGTAACATTGCACATTAAGATCTTACCAAGATCCTCCTGTTTTTCTCCAGTGTGAGATGAACATCATACACATCTATGTAGATTTCTCTCAAATATGTTGACAGGTTCTGACCATGCGCTTCATTCAATGCGGTGATGTTGACAGGAACCACACCGCTGTTGTCAAAGGCCCTTACCAGGGTGTATGCACAAGTGCCCGAGAATGTGTACATGATTTTATCAAAGGTATAATAGTGAGGATCACCACCAACATAGCAGGATGCACTTCCTAGATAAACAATAATAGTTTAGTGATATTTTGGACAAGCTTTTCTATGGTTAAAGAAATGCTTTCAGATAAGTACATTAAGATGCTTCAGAACTGCTTCATTTTTGACTGTTCTCCTGAATTTACTGACCCATTCTCTGCCATGGGCACTAATATGTCCAAGTAGCCATTTCTTAAATGGCTTTGGATCTTTAATACTGATTGATTTAGATTTAGATTTATTTGTTACATGTACTAAGTATAGGAATACGTAAGTCCAGCGAAAAGTGCACGAAGTTGCCATTCACTGGTTGTTGAAAAGAAATTCAATAATTCAGCTTCATTGCAGCCAAACTGGCTCCCGCCCTGTTTAATATTCAGACATTCAACTTTGAATGGTCAAATGGATATCCCAAGGCGCTTTACAGCTAATGAAACAGCACTGAAGTGTAATCACTGTTGTCCTGTGGAAAACTGGACATGGTTATTGGGAAAAGCCCACAGCTTATCCAGCAGTGTGAAAGTGCACAAACTAATCAAAACAAGGGTATGACTGATGATGATTCCTCACTGTTACCTCTGGTGTCCTCCAAGGATTGATCCTTGGTCCTCTGCTATTTCTTATCTACATGCTGCCCCATGGCAACATCACCTGAATTCACAGTGTTGCTTTTCACATAAAGGCTAATAATACCCCATTCCACCTCATAACAACCTTTCTGTTCATTAAATTTCTAGACTGCTTATCTAATAGCCAGTAGAGTAGAAATTTTCTCTAAGTTGTCGCTTTCAGTCCCCACTCCAAACTCCATTCATGAGTTAAAATTCCATCCTTGTCTGGCAACTGTCCAAAAAAGAGACTCTTTGTCAATTTGTGTTCATATTTAACCTGACATTAGCTTTGAAGACATGCCCACTCTATCACTAAGGCCACTCAGTTCAAGTGATTGGGGATGGGCAACAAGTGCTGGCTTTATGAGGAGTGCCTACATCCCATGAAATATTTATGAAAAATGAATGGTGGTAGGAGACAGGTTATGAGTAAAATTTTGGCACACTTTCCTCAAAGCTCAAATTTTATCGCTTAAATAGCTTTTAAAATTTGACCTTTCACCCTTGCACACTTTTGAGCTAAAGATATCACTTTCCAATGGCAGATCATTATTCTACCTCGTCATGAGGAACGTTACTAACCTGTTATGTGACAACCCAGCTCTCCGTCACGTCTCTCACATTTTTCCAACACTCCACACTTCCAGGCTGTACAGCTGATGGTATTTTTGCCCAAGCATGTACAGCGTTCAGTACAGTTCTCATGTGTGAACCAAGATTCATTTAGCTGAAAAATTTCAACAGAGATCACATTGTTAAAACAAAAAGATTTCAATGTGAGAAGTAGCTGAATGGTTACATCATAAAATCTGGCCTACTGTGACACTACTTCAATACTGCTCCATTACTTATCAATGAGGATAGGATGCCCGGAAATTGTGTGATCTGATTTCAATTCAATTAATTAGCTAGTCAATATTTTATTTCTGTTTTCTACATCTCTGTAGATACTATGAAAATGGAGGGCATTACATATTGCCACTGTCTTCAGACTTGATTTTATGATAACTGATTATTCCATTAGTACTGCAAGAAATGACATGACTAAAGAATCTTATCTGTGATTGCCTGATAATTACTGCTTTTTGTTCTGAAGGGCATCAGCATCCATCATTAAAACCACTTCGTATATTTTAAGAAGGCCTTTGCGTGGGCAAAATAGTTGTTATTTTGTAATAATAGACAGAAAGTGCTGGATAAATTCAACAGGTCTGGCAGCATTTGTGGAAAAGAGAAACAATGTTTCAAATCAAATATTACTCTTCCTTTTTGTTCGGAACATTCTGCTGATATGTTTGAAGATGATGATCAGTCTACCACAGAATCTTTTTGTGTCAAGGAGATACATTGTTACATTGTGTTTTTGGAGTTCTTTCATCAAGTGCCTTAAGCCCTCCATTCCAGTCTTCCTAAGTCTCTAGAATTACTAGACTATTTCAGTGGACGGTAGGAGACTATCTAAGAGCTAACACTACCTTTTGAGGTGATGACAGCTTGCTTTTTGAATTCACCCTTCATTGACGCCTCGCTTGTTAAAATCTTTTGCTCATCAGCTTTTCTCATTTACCAACCCTCAGATCTGCATTATATGATAGGGATAGCCATACCTTTAGAACATCTTTAGCCTTAAACACACTGCTTTATCTTCTAACAGAAGCAGAGTCAAGTTCAAGTGAATCTTTTGAGGTTTCCTTCACCATGCCCATTTTCTGGTACTAACCCACCAATGTGAGCAAACTTTTCTGTTCAGCGCATTCCTTCCAATTGGAATATGGAAATCACGCTGATCCTTCCCAACAGACATAATCTTTGCCTCCTTTTTTTTAATGTGTATTTCAAATCTTATAGTTCTGATGTACAGCTTATCAGTGAATTTCCGAAAATCTGTTTTAGTTGTTGCAATAAGGCAAATATCATCAGCGTAGTGTTCAGTGGTTTAATGGATTTATGTTTAATTAGTCTCTTGACTGGTTTGTGTTCATTGTGTTTGAATAATCCTGTACAGAGCCTTTAAGAGCAAAAGTAGACAGACATTTCTAGAATAAGAACGAGAAGTCTCAGTTGTGAACTCACGTGTCAAAATCCTATGAGTACTGAGATATTTAAAGAACTGTCAATAAACCTGTTGCAGACAGAGGAATAGTGTCATCTCTGCATTTCTGTGAGGTAAATCAAACATATTGGACTGGATTTTTGCTAAGTTTGGAGGACTCAGGAGCTCTTTAGAAATCATGACCACGTCCCGATTCCAGGATTCATCACCCAATTCATGGAATTTCTGATATTCAGCAGTGCCTTTAAAGGTGTGGTTTGGATTGGTTCATGAACCCAGCACTCCTTACCTGTCCAATTCAGTTGTGCAAATAGACATTGCATCTGTAACTTTTGTGGAGTTTAACCAGATTTTAAACAGTCTTGATCATGGCACCTTGGAAGTATTGTCTGCATGAAGGAGCCATTTCAAAGGTAAGTTCAAAAAGTTTTCCTCATGACTTCCATTATAGGATATGCCTATCTTCCCATGGCCCCTCTGGGGTTCCTTTCCTCAAGCATGGCAAAGCAGAAACCCTGGCCACATTAACCTCAAGCTCAATCCTCATCCTAAATCCCAAGGACAGTTCCATTTTATTACTGTCCTATGGCACATCAGCAGTACAAATCACAATTTAACAAAAGAAGGGGAAGTGAGACAGAGCTTCTCCATTCGGAGTAACTGAGTCTTGTCCTGGATTTGAAGAAAAAGAAGGTAAAAAGTTCTTCAACTCCAAAGAGAGCCACATGTCAACCTTTTAAAAATAATCAATTTCTCTGGGAGTCTTTAAAAAAAATACAACAGGCCTCTTTCACTGAGCATTATTGAGGTATGATGCACTTGATGTCTAAAAATCCAGAAATTCTCCCAAGCATAGCCCCTTGATGTGTGAAACAGGGTTGAAGATTGTCCCATTGCCATAGTCAACTCTGGAATTCAAACAGACAGGTAAATGTGCAGAATTCCAACATAAATTACACATTCCTTTCAGCTGCAGTTTGATTTACCATACATTTTCTGCACACTATTTCCATTCAAGTTGGTCACATGGTACTAGATGACACTTGCCTGATAGTATTTGTCACTATCATCCACACAGCCACACTGATTGTTTGGAACACATTGATCCACACTCAGAACATATCCAGGGTCACAGAAACATCCTTCAACAGTTGGTAGAAGACAGTTGTCTGGTGCAGACAGGTCTGTACAAGTAGCAGGACAACTTGTGCCACATCTCTCATAGTGACTACCACTGGGGCAGGATAGGGCTAAAGAAAACAAAGATATATAATTAAGTTCATTTAATTCTGTAGTCAGCGTAAGTAGCATTCCAATAGGAGGGGGAAAACAAATTAGTTTGTCTGATATAAACTTCTTGACAGCATATGTGTTACATGGCCTAAAATCCCAACATAAGTATGACAAAACGTCTCACAGGAAGTTGTTGTGATCTTGCATTAATTATCAAAGTAGAGAGGAGTGGGCTAGAGAAGGACCTCTGATATTCAGCATCACCTAAAGGAGCAGACAAGAGAAGGACCTGAGACAGACAGTCAGCACCAGTTAAAGGAGCAGACAACAGGAGGACCATTAGGCAGTGAGCATCAACTAAAGAATAAGCAAGAAGAGGACCATGAAACAGGTGTCAGCACCATGAAGATTTTTAGGTGAGAAAAGGATCTCATTGAAGGCAGTCAGAGACAGAGCTAGATTCACTGGAATTAGTTTATGCTCTATAAAGGTAAAAGGACAAGTTGTTTGTTGTGTCAATGGTAACTGGTGAAAGTTTTTTTTAATGTTAAATTTGAACGTTGTACACAAATTGATAGTCAAGTCAATGAAATATATAAAAGACAATATAAGTAAGTGAATACAATAGACAGCATCTTCAGTGTAAAGATGGGACTTCATCTCCTCAAGGATTGTGTGGTGCTCACTCCTATTGATACTGTAATGGATGGGTGCAACTGTGACAGATAAATTGTTGAAGATGAGGTCAGTTATGTTTCTCCCTCTTGTTGGTTCTCACCATCTGCCACAAGGCAAGTCCAGCAGCTATGTCTCTAGGACTCAAGTCAGCTTGGTCAGTCATGATGCTGCTGAGGCACTCTCGGTAACTTACATTGAAGTCCCCCAGATAGAGTCATCTTTGCACCCTTGCCACTTTTAGTGCACCTGCCTAGTGGTGTTCAACATGGAATAGTACTGGTTCATCAGCCAAGAAGGCCAAGTATCAGCCAAGGCTTCTTTTTGGCCTGATACCAGGAGATTTCATGGGGTCCAAAGTCAATGAGGATCCCAGGACGGCTCCACCTTAACTGTATATCATAGTGCCACCACCTTGAGTGATTAGTCCTGTGGTTGGGACAGAACATACACAGGGATGATGTTTGTGGTGACTATAAGGTTTGATTCTATGAGTATGACTATCTCAGGCTGTTGCTTGATTAGTCTATGGGACACTTCTCCCAGTTTTGTCAGATGATACCCAGGTGTTGTTAAGGAACACTTTGCAAGATCGACAGGGCTGAGTTTGTTGTCGTTGTTTCCAGTGTCTAGGTCAATGCCAGGTGGTCATCCAGTTTCATTCCTTTCTTTAGGCTCTTAAGTGCTTTGAAACAACTGAGTGGCTTGCTAGGCCATTTTACAAACAGTTAAGAATCTACCACATTGCTGTGGTTCTGGTGTTACATCTAGGCCAGACCAAGTAGACAGACAGCAGATATCCTTCCCTAAAAGACAGTATTGAACCAGATAGGTTGTCATGATAATTGACAATATAGTTGCCATTAGGATAGCTTTTAATTCTAGATCATTTGAAATCAAATTTCACCATCTGCCATTGTGAGGGATTGGAACCAATGTCTCCAGAGCATTAGCTTTGGCTTCTGAATTACAGTGCCATTACCACTACGTGACCACCTAACCCTATTATCTCGTATTAGGACCTTTCCAAATTACTTATGTACATAGCTTTGCTTTCTCCGATGCTTTTGTGTTTTAAACAAAAGTATATTGGAAACCTCATGATCACATGTTTAACCAAAATGCAAAAATAAGACTTAAGGTCTATCAAGCCAGGTTTCATTCTGGAATCTGACTTTTGCAGTAATATCATCAGCAGCAAACAGAACAATGGTATGGACTCATAGACAAGGAATATCTGTATTTCAATCCCAAATTATGCTTAGACAGTTGATTTTAGTCAGGTGACAAAGTTATATTTGGGCTAAATGCTACTAAAACCATAGGGGGATTGGGAGTGGTTGCAGCAGACGGTCTGGTAGTAAATGATCTATAAAAACTCAGGGGGAAGAAGGATGCAAGAAGATAGAGTGATAATTGCAGGAAACTATATTTCAGAATCTTCCAGTCCTGAAGGTTGGAAGGGATCTTAGTTAGGCCGTTGGTGGCATGAACAGAACTGAACAACTCATTCTGACTTTATGCTGAAGGGAAGATCATTGATGTAACAGCTAAAATGGTTATGCCTAGGATGCAGTCATTAGGAACATCCTGGAGCTGAACTGGGACTGCCATATTTACCTTCCAAAAATCTTTGTTTGTACTAGGTGGGACTCCAAACGTTAGAGTGTTTTCCTCCAATTCCCTTTAACTTCAATCTTACTTGGGCTTCCTGATTTTGCATTCAGACAAATGCAGCTCTGATATCAGGGGCATTCTCTAAGACCTTACCTCTGGAATTCTGCTCTTTTTTCTATCCTTGGACTAAGGCTGAAATGAGATCTGGACCCCAATCAGCGTAGGTACTGGTGAATAAACGCTGTTTGATAACATTGTCAATGATTCCTTTTATCACTTTCCTGATGATCAAAAGTAAGCTGAAGGAATTATAATTGGAGGAAAATACATACTTAATAAACTACAAAATACAACTTACAGCAGAAGGAATTATTTCTCCACTCTATACAAACTCCTGCTTGAGCACACAAGTCAGCGTAGGTTTGTACGGCGAAACAAAGTGTTGTAGACTGTCCTCCACTCATACACATATCATAGACACAATTTTCAAAGTAATTCTGAGGTGGAACTTTAACATGGCACTCTTTGAATAAACCTAGGCAAACAATACAAGTAAGTTACATCCAGACAGAAAAATAATTATTTCTCACTTAATGCTATTTCCAGAAGCTATCCCAAACAATGAATTCAGTGTGTAAACTTGAAACATGCTACATAACAGCATTGTACTTTATGTGCAATTCAAAGCAAAAAGTTGTTTAGGAGTAGAACATTCAAACTCCTTCATTGTTCTAAAGTATGTAGAGCCCCATGTATATTTATTATTTTGCACTTGAATATCTCCTGTGTCATTGATCAGACGAAGAGCATTATTTGGGGTAAATGTCTGGATGTCAGCAGGAAAGAAATAATTTAGTGATTGTGGAAAGATTTGAATGTAATAAAGAACAACATAAATACAAGTTCTTTCTTTCTTCAAATCTGCTTTGGATTTCCAGCCTGGAATATTATTCCACAGCCACATCATCATGACATGTTAGATTGGGGCCCAAGACTCACTCCTGAGAAGTCATTATTCCATGTATAGATAACACGCCAGTAACTAGGTTCCAGATATCTACAATCATTTTAAAAAATCCAAATCCCTAAATTGTATTCTAATTCTAAGTCATTCAGAAATCATTTTCTTCTTACAAGCAATCTGAATTACTTAATTAGTTGTAGTCTCTTATATTTGAAGTTTCTTTCCTCCTTTTTCCCCAGTGAAGTCCCTTATCTTTTTCAATGATAAACTGGACAGCTTAGACTACAAATATTTCACAATAAGGTTGAAAAGAATTTTATGATAGGTAAAATGCTTGCACTGAAAACCACTCAGCATTCTGACTTGGAAATATATTGCCACTCCTTCACTATTGCTGGGTCAAAATCCTGAGCTCCCTCTCCAAAGCTTGGTGGTCTGCCGACACTGACAGCCCACCACCACCTCTCAAAGGCAACTAAGGAGAGGCAATAAAAGCCTATCATCCCATCAACGAATTTTTAAAAGTAAACAGCATCATGCTTGCTTAATGACAACTGCATATCAACAGATAGGACTTCAATGCCATGAGTTTGTAACCATTGCAGGAATCATCTGGCTATTAATCTGCTTTCACTTTACTTTGCTTTGAATTGATATGTTATTGTATTGAATGAAAAAAAAACATCATACCTGACAGATTTGTAATCATTCCACAAGTGGTATCTTTCTCAGCATTCTCCTTTATTTCTGGATCACATTTAAAGTCATTCTCACCATGATTGCACCTGTATTTGGAAGTAAGAGTGAAACAAGTGAAGTGAGAAATATGAAATGATTTGAAACATGGTCCAGCTTGACCTGGACTGCTCTTCTCTTACATGAGTCTTCCAACTAAGCTTAGTCCATAGTCCCTTTTATCCAAACGTCACACCTAGATGTTTCTGCAAGAATGATGGTCAGAAACAGAAACACTGGATCCTGATTCATTCCTTATTCCAAAAGAGCTTATGTTAATTGTCATCTTCCTGGACTGCAGTAGTTCAAGAAGAAAGTCCACAATTGCCTTCTCAAGGATAACTTTTGATGGACAATAAATATCTTAACAATGTCAACCACTTCCTCAGAATGATTTTTAAAAATGATATTGTGATTTTTGTTTCAGAAGTAATACTTGTGTATACTTACTCCGTTAATACATCAGGTACTTGCCAACTCTCTCCGAGTTCATTAGAATTTGTTGCAAGGCTGCCATTAGGCATAATAAGATCATCAGCAGGGTCACCATTGTAGTTACCTAAATCACACAAAAGTTATAGGATCAGAATTTCTAAGGTTCCCTTTATCATGTGTTCATTTCTTGATGCTACCATACTAGGATTTTGGTACTGTTACCAAACCGAAATTACTTTTCTCCCAAAAGGACAGCATAATGGCTAGAACCTACTCAATCTTGTCAAAACTGATGTAAGTGAAACCACTATCAATGTTGTTACCTCTTGCATTGGCTGAAATATAACAATCATGAGTTTGAGAAGTAGTTATAAATAGCTATGCTGGTACATGAAGCTACCATTTTATACCCTGTTGCCTATGAAGTAACATCTGTCGGTGGATAATAACCTAAAAGTTCAGTGCGGGCTAGAGGCAGGCTCTCAGCACGGACTGGAGGCGAGGTTCCAACTGTAATACTGAACTTTTTGTTTATTAGTTTTGTAATTTATTCCTAAGATTTTGTAGCTTGGTACCTTTGTACCTAAGATGTGCAATAAGTAGCGACTTTGTAAACTTTTCACTGCACTCATGTGAATACATGTGACAATAAACCTATTTCTATTCTAAAATTTGCTTCGTTAGCCAAAATGAAGTTCAATGAAATTAAATAAAACAAGGAAAAAACTATGAAGCCTGGTGATGGCCTAATAATTGGAAACAACACTGGTTTTAAAATGTTTCTGTGTTTTGTTAAAAGGATGTGTGTGTGTTTATATCAAGTGTTACAACTCAGCAGTAATGAATTGAACTGTGGAAAAGCTGGAGTTCAGTTTAAAATAGACACATTAAATCAGATGTGATAGTGTGGACTATCTATCAGCTAAATTTGTGATTGTCACAGAATTGTGGGGTGTAAATATCAAGGTCGACTGGATGATATGAAGGTGGTGAGCAGCATGAACAAGCTGGCCTAAGGTCAAAGGTTATTAAAAGATAAGCCTCTTTCCAAGGAGACACGAGCAAATCTTAAATGAGCAATTAAACAATCTAGTCATGGTGGATTGTTGTAATGTTTGCCAGTGGCCAAACTGATCATTTGCTGGAGACTGGACAGTGTCAAGTTTGAATGCACAGCTTGTCTGGATGGAAACAGTATAAAGAATGCTTGCCTTAAAATCTAGTTAGCTAGCTCAGAAAAAATCATCTGATGAGTGGCTAGAGATCGAAATAAAGCAGGTTGATCACCTGTCTTGGTTTGATCCTCATTCAAGTTCACGTAAACAGATTCACTTGTGATTGTAAGTACTGTATGAGTAAGAACTTTTTAATACTGCACTTTGGGTACATTCCATTGTTAGAACTGCCTCGGATTAGTTATATCCAGAGTACACCCGCTAGATCAGGGAAAGTAGGAATAAAAACCAACATGTCCACGAGATAGTTGCATTAGAAAAATGCTAGCTAGCAGAATTCTTGTAAACATTCTTTGGTGCAACCAATAGACACTCCTTTCAATAAGAATAAAAGTGGGTTATCACAACTGGTTTTAATATCCTTCATCTTGAAACACCCCAAAGTGTCTCACGACTAATTAAAAACTTTGGACGAAATTGACCTGAACCTGGAAAATTGTAATGTTGAGAATTGCAGCAGCCAGTCTGCTTAAAGCAAGATCTCACAAATAACAAAAAAAATTATTATCTAATTCATTTTAGTTATGTTGGTGAGATATAAATATAGATTAAGAAGGAAGAACTCCTTTGCCATCCTTCAAATAGTGCAACAGTATCTTTTACATTTCTAAGGGGGCTTTAACAGCTCATCAAAAATGCCATCTCTAAAACTCCTGCACTCCCTCAATATGATGAAGAAGTGTGAGTGCATATTATTTGTTCAAGTTTCCAGAATGTAACTCGAATCTCCACCCTTCAATATGGAGAGTGTTCTTACAGCTGGCAGAAGAGGTTTGGAAATTTCCTTTTCCTTTCTTGAAATGCCCCACCAAAAACTGTGATGGAAGCAGGATCTACAAAAGCCTTTAAAGGGGAGTGGATAAAAAAAATTAAAAAGCAAAACATTCAAAAGGTATTGGGACCTCTGAACTGTGACCCTCAGTCATTGAGTAGTACATTCCAAAGAAGAGTCATATTGGACTCAAAGTTATAACTCTGTTTCTCTCTCCACAGATGCAGAGTTTTTCTAGCACCTTTTGATTTTTATTTCAGCTCTTCAGCATCCACAGTATTTTGCTCTGGTTGACAAATAAGATCAATAGATTTTAGATATTAAAAGATATGGGAATTGTGCTGGCAAATGCAGTTGAGGTAGAAGGTTAACCATGATCTTATGAATTGATGGAGGAAACTCAAAGAACCAAAATAACCTGTTGCTACTCCTATTTCCTACAACCCTACGAAAAAGTAGAGGAATAAGATAGTACATAACTCTTTCGGGGATCTGGTGGTCAGCTGAATGACTTTCTTGTATATGATAAATTTCTGTGATTCCACTAACACATTCAGTTCATAACCCTGCCAAAAGTCTTCTGTATTTCTTTAAGGTGTTGTGTCATTGAGACACAGGAATAATCCATTCCCATTCAGTTTGACAACAGCTATAGAAGTTGAGGAGCAAGTCTTCTGTCCTTCTTGACAGTTAGGATTATATGAGCTGTTTTTCAGGCAACTATGATCACGTTCCTGGTGTGATCAGATCGTGAAAGCAAAGTGATCTTATTTATACACAAATTGACAATTTGTCACTTTACAATGCCATGAAAATGGGTTGGACGGTGAAGGCATCAATTATGCTGCAAAATGAGAACTTCAAACCTACTACTCTGTCCTCAGTGTGAATGGTGCTGAAAAAGAGGCAAGTGTGCAATTAATTAGCACTGAGATAAATACTAATAATAAATTTGCCTATGATGCATAGTTGTTTTTACATGCAAAGAGTGGAACAGGATTTAAAAGCTACTACAGGTAGTCCCCTGATTTATGAATGTCTGACTGACAGACACTCGTAATTACGAATGGCTATTTTATATTGTACTGTATTGTGTTCCAACTTGCATATAAATCGAATGAAGATTGTACTCAAGAATGGAACATGTCCATAACCCAGGACTACCTGTACTATGAAAACATTTAAAGAATACACATAAAAGCAAACGTGTAACGTGTTAAATATTTGCTCACAAAGCCTATTGGACCTACCACACATGCCACAGAGCAGTCCAGCATACATAGATGGTACAGACACATCAACATGGTGGTTGCCATCAAATCTCACGAACAGGCCAAAGCTAGTCTCCAGTAAAACATAGGTACCACTCATCCGCACTACCAGGAGGTTTCTGACAGACACAGGTAGGTTTACTCTATTTCCATTGAGCTAAATAGAAAAATATGTGTTAATTTTTACACAAGTAACAAGTCAATATGTTTCAAATATACAGTTATATCTAACTGTTATCACACAAACAATACATGTTTAAACTCAGACCAGCAAGGATATTATCATTTCCACAAAATGTCATTCAGGGTTCTAGTAGAATTTATCGAGTTTCTTCATACTTCTATGGCACAACCTTGACATCATAAACATTAATATGCTTTATTTAGTAAAATTTGTCACTTAGATATAAAAACTATAACACAACTTCTTGGTAGTGGCATCCAATCGAACTGGGCATGTTTTTGTACCAAATCTGTTGGATTTCCAGTAATTCCTATTTATATCATTATTCTGTCCTGCTTTTCATCAATTTATGTTACCTTTTTGGGAAGCTAGGGAATAGGTGGTTGGGATCCATGCTGAGATATTGTTTCATTGACAGCCACGGGTGAGGTGCTGGAAAACGAGAGAGTGGCTTATTTGATGCCATTATTTAAGAAAAGTAGTAAGGAAAAGCCAGGGAACTATAGACTGGTGATTGTTACATCAGTGGTGGGTAACTTGTTGGAGGGAATTCTGAGGGACAGGATTTACATGCATTTGGAAAGGAAAAGACTGATTAGGCACGGTCAAAATGGCTTTGTGTGTGGGAAATCATGTCACAAGAACTTGACTGAGTTTTTTGAAGAGGTGACAAAGAAGACTGATGAAGGCAGAGCAGTAGATGTTGTCTATATGGACTTGAGCAAGGCATTCAACTATGTTAGATCAGATAGGATTCAGGGGGAGCTAGCTAATTGGATATAAAATTGGGTTGAAGATAGGAGACAGATGGTGGTGGTAGAGGGTTGTTTTTCAGACTCAGAGGCGTGTAACAGCACTGTGCTGCAAGGATTGGTGCTGGGTCCACTGCTTTATGTCATTTATATAAATGATTTGGATGTGAATATAGGAACTATGGTTAGTAAGTTTGCAGATGACACCAAACTTGGTGGTGTTGTGGACAGTGAGGAAGGTTACCTCAGAATACAATGGGGCCTTGATCAGATGGACCAACAGGCCAAGGAGTGGCAGATGGAGTTTAATTTAGATAAATGAAGTGTTGCATTTTGGTAACTCAAACCAGGGCAGACTTATACAGTCAACGATAGGGCCCTGGGGAATGTTGCCAAACAAAGAGACCTCGGGGTAAAGCTGACATGGTTCCTTGAAAGTAGAGCCACAGGTAGACAGGGTGGTGAAGAAGGCATTTGGCATGCTTCTCTTCATTGGTCAGCTGTACAGCACATTGGTGAGGCCACTTTTAGAATACTGTGTTCAATTCTAGTCTCCCAGCTATAAAAATGAATTTGTTAAACTTGAAAGGGTTCAGAAAAGATTTACAAGGATGTTGCAGGATTGGAGGGTTTGAGCTATAGGGAGAGGCTGAATAGAGTGGGCCTATTTTCCCTGGAGTGTTGGAGGCTGAAAGGTAATCTTATAGAGGTTTATAAAACCCTGAGGGGAATGGATAGAGTGAATAGGCAAGGTCTTTTTCCCAGAGTGGGGAGTCCAAAACTAGAGGGCATAGATTTAAGGTGAAATAAGAAAGATTTAAAAGGGACCACAGGGACAACATTTTCATGCAAACTGTGGTGCATGTATAGAATGAGCTGCCAGAGGAAGTGGTGGAGGCTGATACAATTACAGCATTTAAAAGGCATCTGCATGGGTACATGAATAGGAAAGGTTAAGAGGGATATTGGCTAAATGCTAGCAATTGAGTCTAGATCAGTTTAGGATATTTGGTCAGCATGGATGAGTTGGACCGAAGGGTCTGTTTCTGTGCTGTATTAATCAATGACTCTATAAATCAGGAAATGAAATGCCACTCTAAGACTGGAACAGTGAAAGTAATATGACATTAAATTTGGTGGCTGTGTGTGCTGTGAGGATGCTTACAGGCTTCAGGGTGACTTGGACAGACTGGCTGAGTGTGCAAATTCTTGGCAAATGCAATATAATGTGGATAAATGTGAGGTTATCCACTTTGGTCGCAAAAGCAGGAAGGCAGATTATTATCTGAATGGTGGCAGTTTAGGAAAAGGTGCAGTGCAACAAGACCCGGGTGTCATGCAGGAACAGTCGCTGAAGGTTTGCATGCAGGTGCAGCAGGCAGTGAGAAAAGCTAAAGACATGCTCTCCTTCATAGCAAGAGGATTTGAGTATCAGAGTAAGGATGTCTCACTGCAATTATACAGACCTTAGTGAAGCCACATCTTGAATACTGTGTGCAGTTTTGATCTCCTAGTCTGAGCAAGGACATTCTTGGTATTGAGGGAGTCAAGCGAAGGTTTACCATACTGATTCCCAGGATGGCAGGACTGACATTTGAGGAAAGACTGGAATTTAGAAGAATGAGGGGGATTTCATAGAAACATATAAAATCCTGATGGAACTAGACAGGCCAGATGCGGGAAGCACGTTCCCGATTTTGGGGAAGTCCAGAACCAGGGGTCACAGTCTAAGAATAAGGGGTAAGCCATTCAGGACTGAGATAAGGAAGAATTGCTTCACTCAGAGTTGTGAACCTGTAGAATTCTCTCCCACAGGAAGCTGTTGGGGCCAGTTCATTAGATATATTCAAGAGGTGGCCCTTGCAGCTAAACGAATCAAGGGATGTAGCAAGGGGGCCACAATGGGATACTGAGATTGCATGATCAGCCATGATCATATTGAATGGTGATGCAAGCTCACAGGGCCGAATGGCTTAGTCCTGCATCTATTTTCTATGTTGCTATGTTTTAGTATGAAGAAATTGGAAAAATGAATCACTCATCACAAGCACAGTGTTTTGTAACTTGTTTCTATGAACCAAATCTTATTCTAAATTAACGAACATGGCCCCTAAAACAAACGCAGCACTCCTTTTTAATTTCAAGGATAAACTGGTTTTACATTCCACCCATGAGAAGGCCGATAATGGTAAGCAACCGAAAACAATACAAGTACTAATAGTCCATATTTTATACCTTTTATCTTGTTCTTTTCACCTCTCTCCACAATTTCACCTCTGAGTTACAACAAAAGTGCAAACACTGACTACACTAGGACTTGGTTAGACCAGATCAGCGAACAAGCTCTGAAGCAAGTTCTGCATCAATTTGTGGATAATCAGTGATAACAGAGAAAACTCACATACCAACACTTTACGATTTTTCACCATTGAAAGTGTGTTGTTGTAGACAAATACGTGTACAGACTTCACCCAGGACACCTTGGTGTTGGTACCTCTGTGCTCATTGGTAGTCGAAACATAAAAGTAAGGCACCACTGAGGAATCACTACATGGTTTGGACAGCACATATGTGCATGTTCCCATGAAATGGTGAACACTTCTGTCAAATGTGGTGTAGTGGGGATCACCAGAAACACTGCATGTAGCGTGACCTGCAGAGAAAATGAATGAGTTAACTGTACCTACCATTCCATTTTATACCCATCTATCATATTTCAATTTTTACAGGGGGAAAAACTCTGAGGTTAATGTTCAATGCTACACAACTCTGACATCTAAAATACAACAGATCCTTATATCTTAAAAGTGAACCACTTTTATTATGTAAGAGCCCCTGGCAAGATGAGCTGAGCCTCAAAAACAAACTTATTCAACTTGAAACATGAACTAAGTCCACCCTTCACAAATGCTGCCATCTCTGCTAAGTTTTTCCAGTTATCCTGTTCCAATTTCAGATGTTCAATATCTACAGCATTTCGCTTTGTAGCAGCCTCCTGACTGATAAAACACAGATTGCCAACTTGGCCAAACAGCAAGGGATGCTGGTACATTGGCCAAGTGAAACTCTGAAGTCACAAAACCCACACACCAGACACAGTGCAAACACAGCAGGCAGGTGCTAATGACATTAACATAATGTCAAAGGCAACATTTATTCTGCACGGACACCCCAGCAACTTATCCACTACACAAAGGACAGCCCAGACAGAATAGCACCAGTTCCTGTTACACAAACTGATAGTAGATGACATCTAAACGAATGACTCGTGTTTCAAACTATTAAGTGTATCTCCCTGACTGGCCGGAACTATGGAAAGTTCCAGAAAACCATCTAAAATATAGAAAAACAGAGTTCACCTGCAGACCACACTCTTGGAACCGCTCGTGGAATTGTCCGAGGTCTTCTCAGGAGACCAGCGTGGCAAAAGGCAGAGATCAGCTGACCATGCAGAAAGAGAGAGGAAGAAAGCAGCTTCGCAGACCCAGAGGCAAAGGCACAGAGAGAGCAGCTGCGTAAATTTACAAGAGACTATGGAAGTATTGTAAACTTTAGGAGGCCAACAGGATTTGGTACAGTATGTTTAGTATTAAAGACTGTTGTAATTTTGCTCCTAATAAAGTGAGAATGTCTTCCTTTGATACCAGGTTGTGTTCCAATTGATTTGACCGCTTTTGGTATTGTGGGGCACCTGGGTGAATTCATTCATAACAGTATGTTTGGAGTCGTCTGCAACTTGGTTAAAGAGGATCTAGATGATAGCTTTTATGGTTGTGAAACAAAAAATATTGTAAATTGAGGATAAAAAGTTCATTCCATTGTGACAGAATTTCAGAATTATGGCACGGAAGGAGGTTATTCAGACATCATGCCTACTCCAGTTCTACTACCTAGTGCCAATCATCTGCCAT